TCTCACCCTGCGTGAGCCCTTGACAGTGCTGGGTCAGAGGAGCCCCGGGGCTGCTTCCTCATCACTTGGACGTACATATCAGCTTTCTAAAGCAGCATAAACAACAAGAAACATACAGTGCTGTTAAAAGTTATTTATTAGAATTGTCAACATTGAATTTCCCTTACTATTTTTAGTTTGCTGTGGAAATTAAAACAACCACCAAGTTTTCCAGCTGCAGAAATACTGTTCATCAGCCAGTTTTAGTCTGCTGCTGTTTACAAGACAGTATAAGTTTTCTATGCCTAATAAAAACAATCATCTGTATTCCATGGCTGCAGGCAACAGCACTGCAAGAGTGGAGCAAGTCGAGAAGCTTTTGGAGAAGAATATGAATTATCTCACCCACAGAACAAAGCAGAGAAGGGCCCTGAGCACCGAGGGAAATTGCATAACAATAAGCAGGCATCTCCAAACCTGCATGGTTTAACTGGGAGATTTTATGCTTTTGAGAAAATACGTCTTACTTGAATATCCCCATTCTTGCCACTTATTTCTGCGATTTAAATTGTTGCTCCTGGTTTTTAAGGCCAGGATGAACTGACAAGCATTTAATCAGCCAAGCTGGATGGAGGGGCACAGGTACCACTGAGACTCGTGGGATGGCTCTGCGATGAGCAAGAACATTAATGGCTGCTATAAAGAAACAAGCTCCTGTGCCCTCAGATGGACAGAATTATAAAAATCCCCACAGCGTCCCCAAAGCGCTGAATTAACCGGAGAAGGAGCTGTGTTTAATGTGATGGATGGAGCCCGCGGGCCCCATCGTGGGGACGCAGCCGTCAGGGCAGCGGCACCGCCGTCGTTCCCCGCGGCAGCGCTGCTCCTGCCCGGCAACACCGGCGAGGATAATTGCGTACTTAAATCTGAGCGCTTTGAGACACAGAAATTCATCTGCTACCGTCAGAGTCCTTGAAGTTAAAGGGGGATTTGAGTTACTGACATAATTTGTTCCCTTGAGGGCTGTGGAAACGAGAGAGAGGCACATCTGAATAATAAGTCTCTGACCACATCTTGGATGGGGGCGAGTGCTGCTCCAGGAGGAAGATAAGATGGGAAGCAAAAGATCTCAAAGGTTTATAAACTCTGTGGCAGGATGGGGTTGGGTTTCTCCTCAGGCGGCAGCTGTGAGGAAGATTTCGGGTAGTGGGTACTCAGGAAGAACCTGATGGGAATTTACAGGAAAGATGGGGCAAGACTATTCCCAAGAGCCTGGAGTGACAGGACAAAGGGAATGGGTTCAAACTGACAGAGTAGGTTTGGACTAGACATCCCTGGAAGTGTCCAAGGCCAGGCTGGACGTGCCTT